TCTTGTACTCCAAGGCCAGATCAGTCACATGAATATCACGATCGTGCTTTTCTATAATGTCCTTCTTAAGTTCGATCGTCACTTTTTTCTTCAAAGCCTTATTCTTGCCAAGCCTGCTCTGCATTTTCTTTGGAGCCATGCTGACAAGCCCACCAAACACCTTCCAAATGCCACAAAACACACCACAAGCCTCCCCGAACGTCTCCTTGCTACCGCGATCTCGCCCACAGGAAGCCGCGACCGCGTGGCAGCAGGGAAAATGGCCGCGGATCTGGTTCAAAAGTCAAGGTGAGTTTGCAAGTCGAGGTAAATTTTTGGGGCCGGAGCTGGTCGTATCTCGAAAAATTCGTAAGGAGGGGCGTTCATAACTCGAGGTACTGCTGTAATAATCTATCTGCAAGTAGATCCCTTACCATCCCGCTCAAATCTGCACCTACTCAGTGAAGAAATCTCTAAGAGTAACCCATTTTCTTACAGTCTCCGGCTCTTACCTACCTACGTTTCCTATTATTAACAAGACTTACGTGGAGAGTGAGAGCCAGTTTGGTGGAGTAGATAAGGCACCAGGCTACAAACTGGGAGACTATGGATTTTAGTCTGTCCTACACATGAAGCCAGCTGGGTAACTTTGGGCTAATCGCTTTCTCTCAGCCTCAGGAAAAAGGCAGTGACCAACCACTTCTGATTATACTGCCAAGAAAACTGTATGGGCTTGTCCAGGCTGTTACCAGGAGCCAAAGAGTAACTCAAAGACACATGCACAAAAAACAAGGTAGAGCACTCTGAATTTTTTTTCAAACCTGCAGAAGACAAGCTGGAATTATAGACAGGAGAAAAATTATTTAAATACAGCTTTCAAAAGGTTAAGAGTGCAATGTATAGGAGGTACATGGCTATAGACCTCTGACGTAGCTGGTGAATAAATGATTAGTAATCAATCACACATTCAAACAACATGGATTTTAAGTGTTTCTCAACCTTAGGAGCTTTAAGATATGTGGACTTCAATAACATGCTGGCTGGGGGATTCTGGGAGTTGAAGTCCACACGTCTTAAAGTTCCTAAGGTTGAGAAATATTGGTCCAGCTTATCTCATTCTGCTTTCCAATCCCCTTACTGTTCACAACTACAGAGGCAAAACACTTTAAATATGAAACTCAGAATACTTCAAAAAGAGAACAGATAGAAAAACTCCAATGTATGCTATCTACCTTTTGT